CCACGATGTGTGTACAGTGTGTAGAAGCGGTCATACAAGGGGGAGATTAAATTAGATTATGTTAAAATAAATTACGATCTGAACTAATATTGACGTACACTTAACATTGTCATGCTAATTAAGAATAATAATAATTGTTTTTCCCTCTGCTATTTAAAATTTCCATTCACTATTTTTTTTGCCTAGAAAAATGTAAAAATAACTATAAAATTAAAATAAGAATAAAAAAACTGTGAAAATAATATACAACTAAAGAATAATTAACAAAAACGTGGAATCATCTTCAGTTTCAAGAAAATTATAAACTACTTACTGCTTACTATAACAAATTATTATTTATTAATAATTATCAATTATATAATTATTAATTCTTAATTATTAATTAATAATTATTTTAAAAAATTAAAGAAGTGTGTAATAATCAAATGAAATTATAATATAAAATAATAATTACAATTTGAATTTAAAAATGGTTTCGAATTTATTGTTATAAAAAAAACTATAGATAACAATTAGAACAATGAAAATAATCCCCCCCCCCCCCTGACAAATGAGAATTTCTCGACAAATTAATGCATCGAATAAAAGAAAATGTCACTTTATTGGCGTTATAACATTTAAGCCACGAAATCAAAAAACAAAACAAGTCTCTTTATCTTCATTATGAAGTACTAAAGATAAAATAACACGACATTGTCACGATTTTTATAAGCTATAAATCCACTGAGGTGAAATATCACTTTTTCTCTCTCGAAAAAAATGACACAGTTGGCTACCGAGAGAAAAAGGAGTATAAGGTAATAAAGCCATTAACGATCCAATAAAATCGTGTAACTTTCGCATCTGAATTATGTTTTGATTGACGATGAATCCCTCCAAAAAAAAGAAGAGTAGGAAAATTAAAAAAAAAAAAAAAAGAAGATAGGTAGGGAATTAAAAGTTAAATTCACTGGCTCTTGCGATTTCGTGTTGCTAGTGCTGCGAAAAAGTGCTTGTTAGTCTTGTTATCCCATCCTTTTAACTCATTACTCTCTTTTCGACGTTCGCTTTTCAGCAGATTCGTTCGAATTTCAAGTGCTTGACTTTGTAAACGAATTTCGTGGTGAGACGAATTTAAAAAAAAAGAAAAAAAAATTTTTTTTTTGATGAGAAGCAGAAACTAAATTTAACCTCTAATCAGTGTTTTATTAAAAACGAGAGAGAGAGAGAGAGAGAGATCACGAAATAAATTTTGAAGAAAAAGAACTATATATATCGGTAGTTTAATATAAAATATATCTCGTGACTCTGACATTCAGATATGGATTTAGATGTTTTATTGGAAAACGAGCGATGTGAGACTGATGTGCGAGTGGTATAAAACAGTCGATCTGTCGCTTTGCCGTGGGAATATTTATGCATCTACAATGCTCTGAAAGGTTATTGGATTTAGTAGTTTGATTCCCTCGCTCATAACACCGTAAACAGAGCGGGATTTTTTTTAAAGCTTCAATCAAAAATAAAAATCGACATATATACATATGTGGATCATTTACGGTGAAAAACATTTTTTTAATGAAAAAATGCTAATAATACTAATTCGATCAAAAATTGTTGAACGATGAATGAGAATAAAAACTGAACACATTTTTTAATTGAGATATTATTTATAATAATAAATAAAAACTATTTATTTAATAATATAAATGACAATTTAAATAATAATAATAATAATAATAATAATAATAATAATAATAATAATAATAATAATAATAATAATATTCTTAAAAATTTTTATAAATAGCGGGGGTCTAACCTTGACTATGTTCTCTTACATTTAGTAATAGAAATTACAAGCCTAGACAAAAAGGTTTTGAAATAAATAGTCAAAATCAATATTTATAGTCAGATCAATAATTTTTAGTATAAATAGTAGTAAAAATCAATTAACAGTCTAACTAAAAGATTTTGTAATATGTAATAGAAATCAATTTGTAGGCAAATAAAAATTTTTCGTAATCAGTGGTAGTAGTCAATTTATAGTCAAAACAATAATTTTTAGAAATTAGTAGTAAAAATCAATTTAAAGTCAGACTAAAATATTTTGTAATTAATAATAGAAATCAATTTGTAGGCAACTGAAAAATTTTCGTAATCAGTAGTATAAATCAATTTATAGTCAGACCAAATGGTTTAGTAATTAGTAGTCAAAATCAATTTGCAGGCAAAGATAAAGTGTTGATACTAAATTACCCACGTCGAAAAATTCCATAGAAGTACCCCCTGAAAATTCTATGGAACTTCTCCATGGAATTTCCTCGGAGTTTCCATAAGAATTCTACAAGTTTTTTATTTAAAAAATATTTTAACTTTTTCAATGTTGTCATAGGTCAGGAAAATGAGGGAAAATGCAGAGATTTTTATTAAAGTACTGGAAAAAATTAATTTTTAGAAGAAGTTACAAATATGATTGCAGAAATTCAATTTATTTTCAAAAGTAATAAAATTCTATGCAGAAATTTATTTATGTTCAAAAATTTTTAAAAATTCTACGTCAAAATTTCAATTATCTTTAAAAATAATAAAATTCTTCTCCAAAATTAAATTAACAATTTTTCAAAATTTTAATAAAATTCTTGTCAAAATTTCAATTATTTTCTAAAATTTTCCTCAATTCAATAATTTTTAATATCTATACTATTTTATAAAAAAAATTTTCAAAAGAAGAAAAAATTCAATTATTTAATAATTTGATAATAAAATTCTTTATAAGGATTCAATTTTGAAAAACATTTATTTAATCAATAAATTATTTATTTTTATATTTGAATAATTGAATTCTCGTAGAATTTACCAATAAAAATTTATTTAAAAGTGAATGTCAGTTGAAAATTGTACATAATAATTGAATATTAAAAGCATTATAGCATGAATTTTAAAAAATTATTGAATTTTGAATATTTTTGAAAATTACATTTTTCGAAGAATTTACTTAAAATTCTATTAAAAATAATTGAAATCATGTGAAGAATTTTATTATTTAGGAGAATAATTGAATTATTGTAAAGAATTTCATTTACATTTTTTTTTAAATAATTGAAATCCTGCGAAGAATTATATTATTTATGAAAATAGTTGAATTCTTGCAATGAACTTTTATTAATTTTTTTTTTTTAAATAATTGAAATCCTGTAAAGAATTGTATTATTCATGAAAACAATTGAATTCTTAGAACGAATTTTATTACATTTTTTTTAAATAATTGAATTTATGTGAAAAATTTTATTACTTGTAAAAATAATTGAATTCTTGGAAAGGATTTTATTAAAAATTTTGTAAATAATTAATATTTTTTTTTTTTTTAAATTTTATGAAAATGTAAATTATTGGAAGACATGAAGATATTAATATCTTTATGTTTTATAATAATATTCTTATAAGTTGTTGAATTTCATAAAGATTTGAAACTTTTTGAAAATTTTAATTCCTATGGAATAATAATAATGATTAAATATTTATTTAAAAAAAAATTTATTCGTGGTTTGGAATAATTTAACAATTAAAAAAGTTCGTTTATTAAATGTCATAGAACAGTTTTTTGAGTATCTAATCATTTTTAGAGTGAATCAGAATATTCTTTAGGATCAGGGAAAAATTCAAAATTTTGTCTGCAGAAAAAAAATTGTTGAAATTAGTAATAGTAAAAAATAAATACATAAATAATAATAATAATAATAATAATAATAATAATAATAATAATAATAATAATAATAATAATAATAATAATAATAATAATAATAATAATAATAATAATAATAATAATAATAATAATAATAATAATAATAATAATACATATATAAATAAATGTACAGTAAAACTAAGGAATTTTTTTATTATTAGTACAAATTTATATACAGCTAGACAACAATTTTTTAATAGTTTTGTATTTTTAGTGTTAATAGAAATTATCATCTTTTGGCAGACAAATCGGTTCAAAATCAATACTGTTGTCTTTAGTAGTACAAGTAAGGTTTAGTCAGACAAACGTTTTATATTGTCTTATAAACGGAGCAAAATCCACTTACAATAAAAAAATGTTTTTCAAATTGAACTTTTTTGATTAATCATAGACAATTATAGTCAAACAAGAATAATAATAATAAAAAAATATTGCAATTCAGTTTTTATATTGGTAATAATAAAATTATAAAAAAATAGTTAAAGTAAAATTCTGCCAGATATTGTGTGCTTTACGGATATTTTTCCTTAAATTAAAACTAAAATACCATTTTATATCAGAAATGTAGTAATTTCCAACAGTTTTGAAAAAATTTCTAATTAAAAAACATTTTCCTTCTAAATAATTTTTACATTAAATATTTTTTAATTTGACGCTTTCGCTTTAGTTAGTTTCATACTATTTTCTGAAAACTAATTATATTATTGAAATTGGGTCAAAACATTGTAAGTTAGTAGGCTGTAAATGTTTCAGATTTTTTTTTTTTTTTTTTTTTTTGAAAAAATCTCACTTACTTTATGTTGAAATGTGTTTAAAAGAAACGTCTTTACCTTTAAGCTTCTTCTTTAAAAAGCAACATCATATTTCAAAGCTATTAAATGTATGCTTTTGAAATTTCAAAGGAAGCAAGTAACTACTTTGCAACGAATTTTTACTCCTCCATTTTTTTTTGTGATTTTCTGAAACATCACTGTAAATTGGATTTACTCTCGGTTTCATGATTCTTTTTATATTTATATGTATATCATTTATTTCAATAATATTAAATAAAGTAATTGGGAATAATAATAATTTTAATTATAATAAATTAATAATAAGTAAAGAAAATAATTAATAAATAATAAACTAAAAATTAATTTAATTAATAGTTGATAAAATTATAATAATTAATTTAACGTAAATAATAAATCAATAGCATTATATTTACATTATAATATAAAATTTAGCGACTGAATGTTTTTGTCTAAATAAATTTATAATTTAAAATTTTTTTTTGTTACAGTTGAAGGCGTTCTATGTCGATTTGTTGGTACCACTTGAAACTAATTTAGAGAAGGACACTAAAGTTGTTCAGGTCAGTATAAATAAATTACAAAATAAATAGATTAATTAGTGAATAAGTAAAAAAATTATAAGTAAATAAATAATAAGTAAATATATAAGTATGTAAATACATAATTATATGTAAATACATAAGTATATAAATACATAAACAAGTAAATAATATATAATGTACTCATAAACTGTTAAGTGAAGCAAATTTTTTAGTTTGTATCATAATATAGTTTTCTTTCGCTCACCATTTATAACTAACAATTGATTCTCGAAAATTTGAACAGAGCGAGCAAAAGAAATTTCTTCAGCAACACAAGACAAGATCTGAGACTTATAGTAAAGCAGCAGCAACTATGAAAAAGCAAAGAAAAAAGTCGAGAGGTGCCAGTAAAAGTGGACTTGCCATGGACAAAGAGTTGAAGAACATGCAGATTCTTGAAGAGGAAAAGTCAAAGCTTGACGCCTTCTGTGAACAGAGTTTGAAGAACGTGAGTCGCTCGTTAAGTAGATCTTCTGATCTTGCTTTAGACGAGAACTTTCTTTCCTTTTTTTTTTTGTTACCTCTTTTTTTTAAACAGTGCAACTATTTTTTTCTACATTTTTTATTCAATTTCACAATTTTTCTCTTTTCTCTTTTCTTTGAGGCGAAATATTTACTTCATATTGTTTTGCTATTTTATAAGGAAAAATTCTTTCTGTTTTTTATTATAGTTTCCTTTTCTTAATTTAGTTTCTTCCTTTTGATTTTTCTTTTTTTCCTTTTTTTGCTTTTTCTTCTTTTTTTTATCTTTCTTTTCTTTTTTCTTAACTTACCTTTTATTTAATTTAGTCTTCACCTTTCACTATAGTAAATTTTCCTTTTTAAAATTTTTTTTTAATCTGATTCTTTACATTTTTTTAACCCTTAGTTTTAAAACAGTTTTAGACCCGAGTAGTAGAAATCTCTTTCTAATGTAAATTTTTACACTGAATTCGAATCTGCAGACGGTTTTTTTTTAATAAATATTGCCATTTCGTTTTTTTATTACAACTTTAAACAATTATTACTGCAAATCAAAATATGTTACTTATTATGAATAAGTATTAATACTTATTATTATAAAACATAAAGATATCGATAACTCCAAGTCTTCGACTCGGAGTGATCGATTTCTTCATGTTTTATAATAATTAAAGATGACCTAGTGATAAAATTTTTATTTTCAAAAATTTTTAACTAAAATTCTTCTTAAAATCGATTATTTTTAATAATTTTCGAAAAAGTTCTTTGACAATTTTCAAATCCATTTGCTTAGAATATTCAATTGTAGGAAAATTTAATTATTCGTAAATTCTTTAATTAAATATATATTAGAAAATAAAAATCTTAGAAAAAATCCGTAATTAAACTTTCTTAAAAAAATTAATTCCACAGAATTATTATTAAAAATATGAAAAATTCAAATTTTCAAAGATTTTAATCTGAAACCTTTTCAAAATTCAAATATTTCTAAAAATGTAATGTAATTGTATGTAATTAAATGCTCTAATGCTTTTAGTATTCAATTATAATCTAAAATTTTAACTGAAATACATATTTAAATTATTTTTTTTTTAAATTCGAGAAGAATTCAATTATTTAAATACAAGAAAACAATTTATTGAATAATTGCATAAATTGAATTCTAATAAAGAATTGTATCAATAAATTTTTAAATGATTGAATTCTTTTGACAAATATTAATAAAATTTTTAAGAATAATTACACTCTTTCGAGGAATTTAATTAAAATTGTATTAAAAATAATTGAAATTCTGCAATGAGTTTTATTATTTATCGAAATAATTGAATCCCTGCAAAACTTTTATTATTTATGAAAATAATTAAATGATTGCGAAGAGATTTATAAAAAAATTTGTAAATAATAAAAATTTTTTTTTTTATTTGAAAATAATTAAAAGTTTGTGTAGAATTTTCTTAAATTTTTTTTTAAATAATTGAATTCTTTTGGAAAATATTATTAGAATAGAAAATACCTATTAAAAATCATTAAATTGAGAAAAATTCTTGAAAATAATGAAAATTTTGGCAAAAATTTTATTACATTTTTTGAAAATAATTGAATTTCGGAGAAGAATGTAATTGTTTATAAAAATAATTGACAATTTTACTAGATTCGAATTAAAAATTTTAAAAATAATTGATTTTTGGAGAGGAATTTTATTATTCATAAAAATAATTGAAATTTTGACAAAAATTATATGAAGATTTTTGAAAATAATTGAAATTTTGACAAACATTATATGAAAATTTTTGAAAATAATTGAAAATAATTTAAATTTTTACAAAAATTATATGAAAATTTTTAAAAATAATTGAAAATAATTGAAATTTTGACAAAAATTATATGAAAATTTTTGAAAATAATTGAATTTCCAAGAAGAATTATATTATTTATAAAAATAATTGAAATTTTGACGAGATGTTTATTAAAATTTTTGAAAATAATTAAAATTCGAGGAAGAATTTTATTATTTATAAAAGTAATTAGAATTTTACTAAGAATTTTATTACAATTTTTGGAAATAATTGAATTTCGGGGAAGAATTATAAAAATAATTGAAATTTTGACGAGATTCGAATTAAAAATTTTAAAAATAATTGATTTTTGGAGAGGAATTTTATTATTCATAAAAATAATTGAAATTTTGACAAAAATTATATGAAAATTTTTGAAAATAATTGAAAATAATTGAAATTTTGACAAACATTATATGAAAATTTTTGAAAATAATTGAAAATAATTTAAATTTTTACAAAAATTATATGAAAATTTTTGAAAATAATTGAAAATAATTGAAATTTTGACAAAAATTATATGAAAATTTTTGAAAATAATTGAATTTCCAAGAAGAATTATATTATTTATAAAAATAATTGAAATTTTGACGAGATATTTATTAAAATTTTTGAAAATAATTAAAATTCGAGGAAGAATGTTATTATTTATAAAAGTAATTAGAATTTAACAAAGAATTTTATAACAATTTTTGGAAATAATTGAATTTCGGGGAAGAATTATAAAACTAATTGAAATTTTGACGAGATTCAAATTAAAAATTTTTAAAATAATTTATTTTTGGAGAGGAATTTTATTATTCATAAAAATAATTTAAATTTTAACAAAAATTATATGAAAATTTTTGAAAATAATTGAATTTCCAAGAAGAATTATATTATTTATAAAAATAATTGAAATTTTGACGAGATTTTTATTAAAATTTTTGAAAACAATTGAAATTCGAGGAAGAATTTTATTATTTATAAAAGTGATTAGAATTTTGCTAAGAATTTTATTACAATTTTTGAAAATAATTGAATTTTGGGAAAGAATTTTTTTTTTATTAAAAAAATTGTATTAAAAATAATTGAAATTCTACAATGAGTTTTATTATTTATCAAAATAATTGAATTCCTAATAAGAATTTTATTATTTACCAAAATAATTGAATCGCTGTAAAATTTTGCCAAGAATTTTATTAAAATTTTTGAAAATAATTGAATCTAGGAGAAGAATTTAATTATATCTAAAGATAATTGAAATTTTGACGTGAAATTTAAAATTTTTTTGAACATAATTGAACTTTTGACAAGAATTTTATTACTTTTGAAAATAATGTAATTCCTACAATCATTTGTAATTTCTCTAAAATTATTCAAATTATATCGTACAAATTACGGACTTTACGGACCTTTTTTTGAAAAAAACGGACTTTTACGGACTTTTACGGGATTTGCGGACCTAGTTCGTGCCTTAAAATTACCCCCAAAACCTCTGTGTAATAAGTTTCAAGCTATCTATCAAAGGATTCGAATTCAGCGTAAGAAAATACGTTAAAAAGAGTCATTTCATTTTTGGGTTCAAAAATTGACCAGAATTTGAAAAACCTACGTTATTAACATATATTTTTCTTAATTATTTATCATTTTAATTCCTCGCCTCAAACAATTATATTAACACGTTCGTGAGGAGTCGTGAGTAAATAGGAAATAGTAAATAATAGTGAAATTTGCAGGCGATGACTCAAGAGAGAAGAAGGTATGGGTTCGTGTTGGAGCGGCAATGTTCCTTGGCGAAGCACTACGCAAGTTTTCATGAAGTGGCTTTGGCTGCACTTCATCCCTCTGTCGATGAGTGGCGTGAAGTGGCAGCCACAAGAGAGTACCTGCCACAGTCTGTTGAAGATATGTTCGCTTCGAGATTAAGGGTGAGAATAGATCTTGAAATATTTATTTCGTCTTTTCTTATAGTCACTCAATATTCACAGTATCTTCTTTTCTCTCTTCTTCTTTATTGTAATATAGTTCTTAGAATAGTATTAATTCTTTTCCAACTCTCTTTTTTTTCTATTTTACTTATATTTTTAAATATTTACTTATTTTATAACTTTATTTATATTTAAAAATATGTTTCTTTTACTTTATTTGTGACGCACTCCGAAGAAAAGAAGCAAATCATTAGGTTATGTTTTTGTTATTTTGACCTTAATTAAAATTCTCTCTGTCTATTTTAAATCCAAAATTAAAATTTTCTAATTATTTTAGATGCAATGAAAAATTAAACATGACTGCGATTTATATTGAGAGCTGATTCACTTTGTATATTTTCATTACAAAAATTACAAACATAATCTAAAATATTTTGATTCAGGTACCTATTTCTTCGAAGCGCGTCATATCTGTATTAAAACACACAACATTTTTTTTTGTTCATATATTTGATAAAATAATTTTCTTAACTTTATTTAATTATTTAAATCACATAAATTTACGGAGTTTATCTGCTTTTTTTTATAAATAAGATTCAAGCGCTTGTTTCAAGATGAAAATTTTATTTTTTTATTTGGAACAATTTTCAGCAAGTGTCCTTTTGGCCGGACGATGAAGAAAATGGAGGTTCTGAATTGACAATGAATTCACAATTGCGAAAGACGAGGAGTATGGACAGTTCCTGTTTGGAGCTACGATTGGGACCATCGCCTGGAAATTCAACTTTGGTTCATCAAAGTGGACCACCTCATCTTCCACCGGCTTTGTCTAGAGCGCGATCTGAAGCCAATCTTCATGCATCGTCTCTCTCACTTGGACCAGGTTTGTCGAAAAAAGAAAAAAAAATACTAGAACAAATTCAATTACATTGCGGTAGATCCAATCTTTCCTCCAAAGAGTGAAGTAACTTTCAATCAATAATTCAACTTTCAATGAATACGAAAATTGACCAGCGCGTTTCAGAACAACGGCAATTTTCCTTATATGATCCGAATTCCTCTAATTTTATTAAAATACAACTTACATGAATTCTAGTAAATATTAAATAGAAATTTAAACAATTATTTTTTTATCAGGGTTGATACAAAAATTTAATTTTGTTTTTCCCTGATTTCCAGACAAAGTTTTGACTTTTTCCCTGACCCCAAAGAATTTCGAAATTAAATCCTAATAAAGAATTTTATCAACAAATTTTTAAATAATTCAATTTTTTCGACGAATTTTAATAAAATCTTCAAAACTAATTACATTTTTCCAGGAATTCGATTCAAATTTTATTAAAAATAATTGAAATTCTATGATAAATTTTATTATTTTCATGAAAATATTTTAATCTCGGTAAAAATAGTAAAAATTTTGCTTTAGTTTGCTTTAAATTTTATCAATACTTTTTTTAAATAATTGAAATCTTTTGAAAAATTTTATTATAAAATAGTTAATATTGAAAATGATTGAATTGAGAAAAATTTTTGAAAATAATTGAAATTTTGCCTAGAATTTTATTGAAATTTTTGAAAATAATTGAATTTTGCAGAAGAATTTTATTATTTTTAAAGATAATTGAAATTTTGAAGTGTTATTTTTAACAATTTTTGAACATAATTGAATTTCTGCGAAGAATTTTATTACTTTTGAAAATAATTGAATTTCTGCAATCATTTGTAACTTCTCTAAAATTCAATTTTTTACAGAACTTTAATAAAAATCCCTGAAATCAATAACTTCAATTTTAAATAAATATTTAATCATTACTATTTTTCATATCAATTAAGATCTTTAAAAATTTCAAATTCTAACCTTTTAAAATTTAGTAAATATAATTTTCTATATTATAAGAATATTGTTATACTATGCAACTTCTCCAAAATTATTTTCATCATTTAAATTCAATTATTATTTTTAACTAAAATGTTTAACTAAAATTTTTCTTTAAATTAATAATTTTTGAAAAAGTTTTTTGGGAATTTTCAAATCCATTTGTTTACAATTCAATTTTACAAAATTTCGAATATTCGGCAAATCTTTAATTATAAATAGGGAAAATTTAATTTGAAACCTTTTCAAAATTCAATTATTTCTAAAAATCCATGCTATAATGTTTTTAATACCTATTCAATTATTATCTAAAATTTCGACTAAAATTCATTTACAAAATCAATTTTTATTAGAAAATTCTACGAGAATTACATTATTTAAATAATAAATAATTTATTGAATAATTGAATCTTTTTTAAAATTGAATTTTTATGAAGAATTTTGTCAACAAATTTTTAAATAATTGAATCCTTGGGCGAATTTTAATAAAATTTTTAAGAATAATTACATTTCTCGAGGAATTCGATTAAAACTGTATTAAAAATAATTGAAATTCTGCGATAAGTTTTTAAGAATAATTACATTTCTCGAGGAATTCAATTAAAATTGTATTAAAAATTTAAAAATAATTGAAATTCTGCGAATTCCTAAAAAGAATTTTATTATTGTTAAAATTTATTGAATCCCTGTTAAAGATTTATTATATTTATGAAAATAATTCAATTATTGCGAAGAGATTTATAAAAAATTTGTAAATAATTGAATTCCTGTGAAATTTTTAATATTTATGAAAATAATTAAATTTATACGTAGAATTTTATTAGAAAATTTTTTTTTAAATAACTGAATTTTATCGGAAAACTTTATTAAAACAGTAGATATTAAAAATGATTGAATTCAGGAAAATTTTGAAAAATAATTGAAATTTTGCGAAGAATTTTATCAAAATTTTTTTAAATAATTGAATTTCAGAGAAGAATTTTGAAATTCATAAAAATAATTGAAATTTGATAAAAATCTTTTTAATTTTTGAACAAAATTAAATGTTTGCAAAGAATTTTATTACTTTTGAAAATAATTGAATTTCTCCAATCATTTGCAACTTCTTCAAAATTCAATTTTTTTAGTGTTTTTAACTAAAATTCTTCTATAAATCCATTATTATTAATAACTAATTAAATATACAAATAAAAATTTAACTAATTTCAGATGAATTTTAGTTATTAACATTTTTCAAAAATCTAAGTTATTTAAAATTTCTAAATAAATTTATTCAAAATTGAAATTTTTCAAACTTTAAAATTAAAACCTTTTGAAGTTCATCTATTTATGGAAATTGTAAACGCACATCTCTTTTGAAATTCAATTAATTTTAAAATATATACGTAAAAATTTAAGTAAAAACTAGAATTTTTTTTTGCAAATTCTACAAAATTATTCTAGTGAAATTCTACAAGGGTAGTAAACTATAAACTAGAGCAAATTTTTTGAAATTTTTTGTCATAAGTTTAGAAAGTAAATAGAAATTCCTTTCACATGTCGAAATACATTTTACAATGCTGAATCAAACCGTAACTAAACTTTTAACGAACTGGTTACATCCCAACCATATCAATTTTGAAATTAAAAAAGCGAATTTTTCCTTTCAATAGGTATACGGACTGAAACAAGAATAAATTCATATCAACATGTAAAACTGAATAGAACTCTGTTTTTCCATTTAAAAAAAAGTTAAAAAAAACATTAAAAAAACGTTTATTTCAATAATAAAATAAATATATTTTATTATTGAAAATTTTTTTCAAAGTGACAATCAATATACCAATTAAAAAAAAGACTCGCGCTTATTTAATACTTTTTTTAACGAGAACGTTTAGTGGCCGATTTAATGTATAAAAAAATAGTCCCAGAGGGGTTTTTTTTTTTGAGTACACACTCACTTTTTTACGGTTGTTACACAAATACAGGAAAATATTGTGAATATATGTATACGTGTAGACATCCAAGTTACGAGTTACCTTTTGCAATGGCAGCTATAGATGAGGTAAATATAACGAATAGCGCGCGCTGAACCGATCGAATGTGTAGAAGTGCTCGCAAAACAGTTGAAGAGCAACGGGGGCTTTGGATAACCAGTATCGTTCTCTCATTGTTTGTTTTACCACTAGGTCTATGTATTGGTAGAGTAAAAAAAAAATTTTTCCACTTCATTCGTTTAGCCTCTGGCAATTTAATCACGCTCGCAGTACTTGGCGATTTACTGATTGAAATCTTGAAAAATCGAGTAGTGTTAATTTGAAAGCACTATTCTTTATTTCATTGAAAAAAGCCGAATTGTTTTTGTCTCTTTCTTTTCCCCTTTCTATTTTTGACTTTAGCTGGCTTTTTTTCACAAATTTTTTTTTTTTCAAGAATCAAACTTTGGAAACTAATTGCAAAAACAAAAATGTTTAAAATCATAGTAACTTTTTCAAAATAATTAATTCTACACAATTGTTAGTTAAAAGTATAAAAAATTTTAATTTTCAAAGATTTTAATTTGAAACCTTTTCAAAATTCAATTATTTCTAAAAATTTATGTTATAATGCTTTTAATGTTCATTTATAATCTAAAATTTTGACTAAAATAATTTTCAAATCAATTTTTAATAGAAAATTCTTTGAAAATTCAAATAATTAATTTCGGTGTTTGTAATTTTTTTGAACAACCAAACTGAAAATAAAATTTTTAAAGTAAAAGTAAAATTCCAAATCGATTAAAATTAGCTTCGTCTGGAATTATGAATCCGATATTCATTTTTTTGATATTCAAAATAGCAATTAGGTATAAAATTAAATTTAAAAAAATGGACACATTATAGAAAACAATAATTAGGATAAAAAAATATGAAACACTACAAATTAGAGAAATAAAAACATTTGGGAAAATTTTATGCAAAATAAAAATTCTCAGAAATAATTCTTTAAAATTAATAATTGAAAAAAATAAATTATTTAAAGTAGAAATTTGGTAACAAAAACATTATGTGAAATAGTTATTAGCAAGATTTAGAAGTAATAGAAAATAAAGAACATAAAATGAAGGAAAATTTTCAAAATTTAAATATTAAATTATTAATAATTATTATTATTATTAGTAAAGTTTCTATCTAAATACTAACAAAATTAAAAAAAGTGAAATTTCAATATTTTGAGGAGCAGAAACAGGAAAATTATATTTTTGCCAAAAAAGAATTTTAACAGGTTATAAAAATTTTTGAACAAATTTTTTTTCAAAGCCATTTAGTTTAAATGAAAGAGGGATTAATGCTGAATAAAACAAGACATTATTTTTAGTAAATATTAAATTATTATTTAAAATAAAAATTAATTAACAAAAAAATTATGTAAAATTATTTTTTGCAATATTAAAAATAATAAAAACTGTCAATTCGGTAATGACACTTTACAAAATATAAAAGTTTGTGAAAAAATTAGGTAATTTTAAAAATTTAATTCTGTGAATTTAAATTTGAAAAATATTTGTATTTGGAAATACAGGTTAGAAAATAATTATAGTAATTATCAGGATGATTTGGAGTAAAGAATATTATAAGAAATGTTAATTCGATAAAGTTAAAATTAGTTTGAAAAATATTTTTAAGAAAAAAGTTTTATAACAAATGATATTTCAATAAATTAAAATTTAGAAATGTTATAGTAATTAGAAAATTCACTGAGAAAACGATTTATTTAATTCAAACATATTTTGTTTAAATTAAACTTAAAGTATCTTTGCTATACAGTCAAAAAAATTTAAGTTTAATTCAAACATATTTTTTGGTTCATTTAAAGAAATAATATATTTAATTCAAACATAATTTATGGTTGATTTTAAATTATTTATAATCAACTTTTAAGTTTGAATCAAACATAAAATTTTTAAACATATTTTTTGTTTAAACCAAAACAGGAAATATGTTTTATTAAACATAATAATTATCCAAACAAAAATTATTTTTGAATCAAAGCAGTAAATATTTTTTATATATATTGGAATTAACCTTACAAACTAATTTCAATGAAACAAAATTACTTAAAATTATTTTTTTTTTACTTAAAACGAGTATAATATTTTCTCAGTGTTTAGTTATTATAAAAAAATATGGGAACAATAAATTTTATAAGAATTGGTAATTCGATACTAATAAAATTATATTGAATAATAATTCGAGAACATAATTATTAATAATTATTATAATTTACAAATAAAAAATAAAATAATTATTAACAAATCTATAAAATAATGTTTATCAAAATTGACAATTCGAAAATGAAAATATTAATGTAAATAATAAATATAAAAAATAAGAATTTTTAGAAATGATTATTCGGTGATTTCAAGATTATAAAACATAATTTCGAAAACATAATTTTTCTGTAAATTAGTATTTCGATTGAAAGAAATTAAAATTAATTCTTATTAGATAAAAAGAATTTCGGTAAAATAAAGATTCGGAGAATAATAATTGGAGTCTATTCACACGCTCCATTAAATTACAGTTAATTCTGATTAAATAAACCGCAAATTTCGATAAAGTAAAGAACTAAAGATTCATAATATCAAAAGAGGGATTTATTGATGCGCCTCAAGTAATTTTGAGAAAATATTAAGATTTTGAAAGGGAGGAATATATATATATTTACAAAACGAAATGTTTGTAAGGATTAATGAATGTTTTCATAAGGACCGTACCTTTAGACGTAAAACGATTTAGTTTGTCGGAAATGTTTGTTTTAAACTTGAAAAGGGCAGACAAAGTGAATTGAAGCATTTACAAGGTTTCTGTTTTCACAGAGGTTCCGGAAACACCTCCACGACCAAGATCCATGGCCCCAGCATCCCGCAACAGTGCCGTGGTTATGAGTACTGGAGTTGTTGCCGGAGGATGGGGCGATGCTCCTTTAGCCAGGGCACTCTTCGCTTATCTCAGCTCTGGAGAAAATCAACTCAGCTTTTTGGAAGGAGATCTCATCGCTCTGATGGGTAACTATCTCAAATTTACCCTCCCCTTCAACTCTTGACCCCCTACCCTCTATCCGATGATGCTATTACATTATTTTCTGGCTATCAAATTAATAGTTCTTAGCTCCCTGTTAAACCCTCAAGCCTCCTTCATCATTTTCCTGTTAACCTCGTTTATTCCCACCCCCTCTCTCTCCCTCCTCCATTTTTGATTACCACCTAATTCGAATATTTTTATTTTCCGATTTAATCTATTTTACATTTTCACCTTTTAATTATAGTCTAAAAAAGATAATTGATTGATTATTAGATTTAACATTTAATTTATCTTTAAATATTAAAATATGTTATAAATTATATATTGTTTATACAATAATATTTTTTAAATAATTATATTTATAATAATTTATAAAATAAGGCAAATAAAACAAAAACCTTCGGACAATGAATAAAAATATTTATTTACTCCAAAGTTTCGAAATCTAAATGATTTCCTCTTCAGGTAGTCTATCCAAAAAATATATACAAAATTAAAATAATAATAAAAAATAATTTAACAATAAATAAAATAAAAATTGGTGAATAATTATCTTATCAAAAATTAATAATTAAAATAGACGAAGACAAATTTTATACCCTAAAGATGGAGTAGAGTCTGAAGTCAGAAAATTATAAAGGATCTTAATATTCATAAAATAAATTAAAAAATAAAAATAATTGAAAAATTAAAAAATTAAAATAATTCAAAAATTAAAAAATAACAATTATTAAAAATTAATAATTAATAATAAAAGAATGAATATTAGTAAAAAAAAATGAAAATTAATAAAGAATCACTATATAAAAAATATGTAAATTTATGAAAAATTAATAAAAATAAAAAAGTAACAATAAATAAATAAATAACACAGTACCTACTTAATAATATAAAATAACATACCATAAATAAATAAATAATCCGTCTTGGTATAAAAACAATACATAAATAACACATAGAAAATTAATAAATAAATAACGGTTCACAATACAATAATTCACAATAAAATAAAATAAAAATAATTTGTCAAATTAAGTAAAAACGTATTGCAAACTGCAAAAATAAATTTAAAACTGAGCTCCAAACTCTATCGAGTTCTTACGATGAACATTAATTAAAGAGAGAAAAACAAAAACAAATAAAAACTAAAATTATGTTTTTGTGTATGCTTTTGTTTTTTTTTCCTTTAAAAAATATATTTTTTGACAAATCGAAAATATGCAGGTATTTTTTCATGATTTATAATAAAATAATATTTAAAATTAGAAAATTTTAGAAAAATTATGATTAACAAATAAATTTTGTTTATTATATCTTTTTTCTATAACAAATTTCGTTTGACTGATCTAAATTATGCAAATTTTTCTCCTTTCGATTTATAAAAAATAGAAAATTGTGAATTGTTAAAAAATTATGATTAAAAAATAGAAAATATAGTCATTTTATGCATAATTTATATTTCTCAATAACAATATTTTTCAGAAACTTATTCTTTTCTTTTAGGGAAAAAAACGTTACATATTCCCATTTCTTAATATTTTTATACAAAATTCTCAAATTTCCTAAGGAAATTATTTGCATCATTTCTATTTCTCAATTACTAGGTATTTTTTTAATAATATTCAAAGTTTTTTAAAAATAAAGGAAAAAAATATTTATAACTTCCATTTGTCAATTATAAACTTTAATTGAAAATTATTCGAAAACATTAATTACTTCATTTTTAAATAAATATTTAATTATTATTATTTTTCTATAGGAATTAAGATTTTCAAACATTTTTGAAATTAAACAACCTATAAAATCTTCATGTTTCATAATAATTAAAGAAGACTGAGAGATAAGATTTAATATTTTATATTATAAGAATATTGTTACTGCAATTCGTTCAAAATTATTTTCATCATTTCAATTCAATTATTATTTTCTAGAATTTTTAATTATTTTTTTATGAAAATAATTGAATTATTGCAAAGAAATTTATAAAAAATTTGTAAATAATTGAATTCTTGTGAAATTTTTATTATTTATGAAAATAATTAAATGTTTGCGTGAAATTTTATTAAAATTTTTTTTAAATAATTGAATTATTTTTGAGAAACTTTATTAAAATAGTAAATATTGAAAATCATTATGAAATGAGAAAAATTTTTGAAACTAATTGAAATTAGGACAAGAATTTTATTGACATTTCTGAAAATAATTGAACTTTGATGAAGAATATTGTTATTTATAAAGATAATTGGGATTTTGAGGAAAATTTTTAAAAAATTTTTAACACAATTATTGAATTTTATGAGAAGAATTTTATTAATTTTAAAAATAACTTAACTTCTGCAATTATTTGTAATTTCTCAAAAATTCAATTTTTTTAGTATTTTCAACAAAAATTTGAATTAAAAATTTTTAAATTCTATTATTCTTAAAGTTGCTAATTTTATTTTATAAAGTACGTATGAAGGTAGCCGCACGCGAATTGTTGCTAGTAAATTAAATAAAAACAGAGAATGAAACTCAATAAGTATTTATTACGTTAAATTACTGGAAATAAAATTTAAAATAATTTTGTACGATTTATCATAATTATTCAATTAAACGTTTATATTAAAAAAATGTTTATTTAACTTTTTTTAAATTTTCAATTTAATAAAATTTTTATTTGGACGAATTTATTTATTAATTAAATTTTCATTAAATAGATTTAATAGAATTTTCATTACAATTTTACAATCGAAGGAAAAAAATGAATTTTCCATTTGGCTGTAGTAAAGTTATTTGCTTCAAATAAAATTTCTATTTAATAGAATTTTTATTTGAAAGAATTTTCAATTTCAATCAAGTTTTCATTATATAGAATTTCGATAAAATTAAAGAAATCTATTTATAGAAATTAGTGAATTGAATTGGAATTAAAAAGCAAAAATATAAAGTTAAATATAAAACCAACGTAGGTAATTTAATAAATTTACTAAATGTAAACGAAAATCAGTCTAAAGAAATGGCAAAATTCGAACATTTTAAATTATATAAATTATAAACAAAAGAATTAGTTTTTTGAAAAAAATGGGTTTAAGTGGTTAATAGTTCTACTAAATATTATAAAATTGAGAATTTCATCAAATTTAAATATTTTTTTTTTACAAATTTTCAAAGTCGAATATTAAAGAGAAAAATACCTTAAATTTTTAAAGAAAGTGGAAAAGTTTTGTGTGAATTTTTGATTTTATCTCTCTAGGCGATAGACAAAAGGGTTGGCAGTTTGGCGAGAATCTTCGTACACAGAGCTCAGGATGGTTCCCTCTGGCATACACCGAAGTGATCATCGACGAGAATTTAGGGTAAGTCATAAATTTCACACTTTTGTCCTCATAATATATAAAAAGTAAAATTTCCCCAAAGAATAGGAACAATAAAAAAGTGAACAAAAAATAGTAAAAATAAAAAGTTTTTAATTGATTAAATAAAATACTTTGGAATTTATTTATAGAAAAATAAATTCAAGAGAGTTATTTTGATTGGAAACTATATTCGACAGATTGCACTTTTTCTATGTGGTTTACATTTACGTATATATATATAGTAGTGTTTAGATTGGAGTGGACACATAAACCGTTGCCATCTTGTCTCTGAAAATAAACGTCATTGCGTGAGGCAAATGCCTTCCATTTAATCTATGAAAGTGATTGAAACAATCTCCTTTCAAAGTGAATCTCATGAATGTTTTACACACTCTTTTTTTTCAAATATATTTCCATTCCTGTCAAATTTATGAGCCGTTAAAATTTACTTTCATTTAAAGTAAGTAGAAACAAAGTGGAAGAAGATCCAAGAAGAGTGTAAGAATAAATTTCCACTTTCATTTTCTTTCATTTAATTCTCAATTTTTTCCTCAACCTAAAATATTTGACTAGGTTTTTCTTCTAATATTAGATTTAATTAAAACAGGGTTGTCATATGTTACGTATGACTTTGTTACCTTTATATTTACATAGAAACAACGTAGTTTAATTGAATTATATAGAATCCATTTCATAATTTTGCCTTGTAACCTAAAAACACAATTATCGTTCTTACACAAAAATACATATTTATTAGTAACACCAATAAATTCCAACATTAAGCAAAACTCTGAACAACCCACTTTTAATCGGGTAATTAGCACAATTAAATTAAGCAAAGCACATTTTTCTTTTTTATGTTAATATCGCAAGGCAAGATTTCTTTCAATTATTTGTAAATTATTGCACAACAACGAAGTGGTCAAAATCTAAATTTCGCAAGTACCAAATTCTGCAAGCTGTCAGAATAAACTGCATTGAGGATTTCCCCACCTAATTGTCAATCAATAAAAAGACTTGACAAGGGAAAATCTGGGCAGTTTAATTCAGGCAAAGTACCTGAACGTGATTTATATATTGTGAGTCATTAAGACTAAAGAATTTTTATCCTTTTGTAAATTGAAGGGCGTAGTCCCCATTTATTGTAAAACAGAAATATTGAATTGAGATTAAGTCCACTTTAAAGAATATCAAGTTTGAGGCTAAATACGAGTAAGGGAAAAGGAAGATTGCTGCGATATAAATACAAATAAAAGAAGCAAACATAACGATTAAAAGTGAGTAAATAATTACACATTACACTCATATACACAAATCAATTTTCAAAGAAATACGTAAATTTTCATAAGTTGATTTCATGAGATTTTACTAAAAAGAATATTCACATTCTTTTTTTTATTATAATTTATATTTTAATCCCAGAACATTTATATATTGGAAAATTAAAGATTTATAAAATATATGTAAATCTGATAATTAAATAAATATTAATTTAACCAATAATTTCTATTCTTATTAATTGTAACTACACAATTGATATCAATAATTGTGAGAGTGGAAAAGTCCCCTACCTATTCAAATTTATTTAATTTGCTGAAGAGCATTTTTCGTTATCACGACAGATTTAAATTGATAATAAAATAATTTATCTATTTTACTTTTATTAAATTAAATCCTATTCGTAACATCATAAAAATTTAATTTTGTTTTTTCCAGACTTTTCCCTAATTTCCATACAAAATTTTGACTTTTTTCCAGGCTCTGAAGAATATTCTGATTGACTCTTATGATGATTGGATACTAAAAAAATTTTCTATTAAATATTTATTTACGAATGTCTTTAATTGTAAAACTTCTTCAAAATTATTTTTATAAATAATAAAACTCATCGAAGAATTTCAATTATTTTTAATATTTAAAATTAATTAATCGAAAAATTAAATTATTAACTATTGAAGTTTTATACACAAGAATTCAATTATTTAAAGTAAAATGTTCATAATATTTATTATATTTCGAAAAAATTAATAATTTAAAACAATTTTCATATAATTCTTATGAAGAATTTAATTATTTTCAAAACTAACAAAATTTTTCACAGAAATTCAATTCCTTTTAAACATTTTAATAATCTTTTTTTGCAATAATTCAATTATTGTCATTAATAATAAAATTCTTCTCAGGAATTCAATTATTTTTTAAAATTTTAATAAAATTCTTAACAACTATTCAATTATTTTCATAAATAATAAAATTCATCGCAGGATTTCAATTTTTTTAAATAAAATTTTATAAGAATTTAATTTCAATTCCTCGAAAAAATCAATTTAAAAAAACAAATTTATAAATAATTGAATTCTTTCGACAAATTTTAATAAAATTATTAAGAATAATTACATTTTTCGAGGAATTTGAATAAAATTGTTAAGTGGTCGAAAAATAATTAAAATACTGCGATGATTTTTATTATAATTATGAAAACAATGGAATTCCTAAAATGAATTTTATTATTTATAGAAATAATTGAAACCCTGTACAAAATTTTATTATTTATGAAAATTATTCAATTAATGCGAAGAAATTTATAAGAAATTTGTCAATAATTGCATTGCTGTGAAATTTTTATTATTTTTGAAAATAATGATGTGTTTGTGTAGAATTTTATTAAAATAATTTTAAAATATGAATTCTCTTGGAAAATTTTACTAAATTAGTTGATATTGAAAATAATTAAATTGAGGAAAATTTATGAGAATAATTGAAATTTTTTCCAAGAATGTTATTAAAATTTATGAAAATAATTGAAATTCGGAGACGAATTTTATTATTTATAAAGATTATTAAAATTTTGACGAGAGTTTTTTAAAATGTTTGAACATAATTAAATTTTTGGGGAAGAATTTTATTACTTTTGAAAATAATTGAATTTCTGCAATCATTTGCAACTTTTCTAAAATTCAATTCTTTTTTTTTTTAGTGTTTTTAACTAAAATTCTTCTATAAATCCATTATTTTTAATAATTAATTAAATATCCAAATAAAAATTTAACTAATTTCAAAAGAATTTGAATTATTAAAGTTTTTCAAAAATCTAAATACTTTAAAATTTCTAAATAAATTCATTCAAAATTGAAATTTTACAAATTTTAAAATTAAAATCTTTTGAAGTTCATCTATTTATGAAAATTATAAACGCACAACTCTTTTGAAATTCAATTAATTTTGAAATATTTAAGTGAAATTATTCATTAAATAATTTATAAGTAATAATTTTATGATATAGTTCTTCAAAATTTTACTTATTTAAAAAGAAATTATTGTCAGAAACTGAAAAAAATTGAAGGTTTTGTATTAGAATTTGTGGTAATTTCAAATTTTATAAGGTAAACAAAAAAACACCAAAATTAATTATTTTTTATGAATTCTAAAAATTTAATTTTTTCCAGTACTTTTAATAAAAATCCCTGACTTTTCTCTCATTTTCCTGACTAATTCTACTTTCCCTGACTTTTCCCTGAATTCCCTGACCTTTGGCAACCCTGTAAAAAACAAATTCTAAAATTGATTAAATTAAAAAAGAAGTGAATATTTAGAAAATTCTGAACGAAACAGGATCATTTGAAATCAAAGAATGAAAATTTCCGAATAATAAGTAAAAATTAAAAACTTTTGTTTTATAAAACAAAATTATAACAATATTTTCTATAAACCATCCGCCATATTGGGTCCGCCATTTTGAATAACTGACATCATATTCATCATCAGCTCGGGCTTGACGAAATTAATTAATCAATTAATTAATGGAAAATTAATAGAATTAGTAAAAATTTAAAATATTACTAAATTAATTTTTATTAACAGGTCACCAAATCACAGTTCGAATAATGGACGAACACCAGAGCCGAGAACAGTTCCACCGTGTAAACCGCCACCCACACGACCACCAATGCCAAGTAATGATGATTTATCCTTGAACCATGGAACCAATAGCAATGGCAACACCAATAATGGAACTCCAACTAATGTGCCAAAAAGTAATAGCGCTCATAATATTACAACTCCAACGGCACGTCAACAAAAAGTGGTAATAATTTTTTCCTTCCTCTATATTTCTTTATCTTAAAAATTATCTCCTTTCTCTCGCTGAAAAATCGAGACACCGGTTAAAAAAAAGAAAGAAAAAATTCTCGCAATAGTGTTCTAAATTGTCCATTTTATCCACAGATCCGTCCATCCGGTACTTTGCCGACAGTTTTAGCTGGTGGTCGTAGAGTGCAACCGCCAGTCCCTCCGGTTCCACCTCCTCAGGCCGTTACTTCACTTCACAGTAGTAATGATAGTGGATTTTCTAACGAGCCACCAGTTCAGCCTGATATTGATTACAGCGATGACGAGGCAATGAGGTGAGATAAATTGGACTTTTCTTTTTTTTTCCTACATTATTTCTTATTACTTTAAAACGCGAACGCTTTGAAACGTAGTGTTCGGGCATTTTAAATTTCATTTTTACCATATAACTTTTAAAATTCTCGGCCAAGTTTTCCAATTGTAGAAACTGCTTTCAATACATATAAAAACAAATCCCTTTTTTAATTTAGTCTAACTGAAATTATTATTGGCATGATGCTTTGTAAAAATTGCTGAATCCTTTCCCTATTCATATTTATTCTGTTTTTTAGTCCAGACAATATAGTGATTGGGAAAGTGAGAAAAGAGGAAAATTTCAGAGATCAGAGAGTGTTCTTTGCGTTCATTACTTTTTATTCATTTATTTGTTTTTTATATCTATTTTTAATTATTGGTAAATTAAAGTTGTTATTTCATATTATTTATTCTATTATTTTCTGTCAAGATTTTTAATATGAAAACAATTTAAATTATTCAAATATCGATTAAATTGGGACCGAAAAACTAATTCTTTTGCTTTTTAGACTTTGTAAAAGCATGAAAAATTAAATTTTGAAATATATATTTTTTTTGTTTCTATTATTATATTCGTCATAATGCACGTCCTTTGTAGAGTTAATGTGTCTCGAGCTAATGTAATTTGTTTCGTGTTCTATTAAATTTATTCTCATGTCAAAGAACCTCTTCGTTCTCCATTGTTAAACAACAATTGGGTTCATTTTTTTTAGATTACCTTCTTTTTTCTCATTCTTTGTAGATTCCGCATGCGTTACTACGATCGATGGAATTAAACGCGACGGTGGTGGTCCTCTCCTTTTGTTTCCTATATAATTTTTTTCTTGTTTTGCGCTTTCCAAGAAATAAAAATCCTGAAAAAAATTCAAATATCCCTTTCCGATCATCTAAATTTCCCAATTCCTGACTTGGCACGTAGGGGATCCGTATCTACTGGCTCTTGGGTCTTTTGGCACTGCAGTCTTCCATTTTTTGTTGTTTTTTTATTTCTTCTTTTATTTTCTTCAACGTTCACCAAAAAAAAAAACACCCCGAAACAGACTGCGACGCAGAAAGCCACGCGAAGCTGACCGATCCAAAAAGCAGAAACAGCAACAGCAACAACAACCGCAGAGAGATGAAAAGCCAAGCAGTGGAAAGAATTGGGAGAACGATTCCTGGAAGTCAATTCCAAGGGATGAGAAGAGCTGGCATCTTTATAGAGCTGCAATGGACATTTGGGCCAATTCAAATATTCAGGATAGCGAGAAAGCCGAGTCCGGACGTTATTCATCAGGTCGACGTCACAAGACTGAGGAGAATCGTGAATTCGCCAATTCCCAAAGGGAGAATGGCTCATCGAAAAAGAAGAAAAATAAAAATCAACAACTCGACAAATCACCCAAAAGTGACATCGATTTATCAAATCGTCCAAATCCGAATAACAGAAGTAAATTTTCCCGCGATCAAAAAATGAGAAGTTTCACCAGTAGTCGTAATGGTGAATCAACAAAAATCGAAAGTGAAGACGATATTGAAGTCGATGAAGAGGAGGACGACGATGAGGAGGTCACCTACACCAACGGTATCGAATACTCCAACAAAAAATACTATCGCGAAAATAACGAACAAACCGAAAATCAACACTATCAAGAAGAAAAATACAACAACAATAATAACAACAACGACGACGACAAAACTTCTTCAAATTCTTCAAATTCTTCCAACTCCGACGACGAGAGTACCATAACAATTCCCGAGACAGGCCGTAAGGTTGAGCACATTGCCCAAAAATTAGAGCAAACAGCACAAAAGTACGCTAGGGAGCACAGTCCACCAAAATTCATCGAAAGAAGAATCGAGGATAAGAATAATTACGAGAATTTTAATTCCACTGAGAGACGATCACAATCGCAAAGGCGTTATTTTGAAAACACTTCGAAATCAGCAACACTTGGCTATGAACGTGAACGAACTCTTGAGAAAAATGAAAGTCGTCATCGTTTCGAAAGACCAAGACCACCGTCCATCGAAGCTCCCGAGAGACCAAATTTTCGCGAACGTCGCTATTCGGAAAAAGAGGAAATCTACGGCGAAACGTACAATCATAATCCCCCAATGATTGATAAGGATCGTGGTTATGAATCAAATTTCGAGACAAAATTAGAACGAACCAAAGTACTCGAACGTCACTATCGTGAAAAAGAATCCGAAACTAATGAAAACAACAATAATACATTAAAGAATGAACGAAAGGTCCTATTACCAAGACAGAGTACCGCAATGGGTCATCTAATTCAAACCGGTAGATCTTTGGAGGTCGATGGTAAGAGTCCAAAATTAGTGAAGAGAACCAAATCTTTCTGGCGTTTCAGACGTGATTCCGAAGTTCTAGAGGGAATGGCCCTATGGCAGCATCGTTCCCTAGTTGATATTCCCAAAATGCTGAAAAAAGAGACAAAGGACGAGAAAAATCAAACCAATGAATCGTCCCGAAAATCAAGTTACGAGGAGACTATCTCGACTCATCGAACATTAGAAAAAAAAAACAGTGATTCGACAATTACAAATGAACCAAAACCAGCCGAACGTCAACATGTGCCTGAGAAAGGGGATTTTTTCACCGATGACGATTTTCCAAAACCTGCCGAGAGGCCGAAAATTGTCGACAGAACGGAATATGTCAATCAACAGCAACATCATCATCATCACCAACAACATCATCATCGGGAGAGACAACAAGAGAGATCCTATTTCGTTGGTAATATATCGCGTAAGGCAATTCTTGAGAATGAACGTAAACGTAGTTTGGAAGCGAAGAGAAATATGATTGTTGCTGAACTCAAGGAGAATAATGAGGCGAAAAGAAATGATCGTAGATGTAAAAAAACTTATGGTGACGATGACGATGGTTTAATGCAAAATTTCACTGAAACTGAAGCGTCTGATGAGGAATCGACATACAGTTGTATTATCGTCAAGGATCAGGTGGCGGAGAAAACACTATTGCCAAGAACAAAATTAAGAAGAGATAGTGAAAGAGAGAGGGAGAGGGGACGAGGGAAAGAGAGGGAGAAAAATACATGTGGACCTTGGTACGATTTATGGGGTGTTGATCAATCGGTCAACAATAATAACAACAATAACAAAAAGAAGAAGAAGAAGTAGAATGGCGGAGAGAATTTTTTTCCATGTTTTTTTTAGTTCTGGAATTTTTCCCTTCCTACTGGACCTTTTTTTCTTTATTTTACCAACAATTTATTTTTTAGAGTTTATTAATTTTTCCGATTTCTATTTTATTGAAATTCTTTTTATCTTCCAGGAAATGATGTTTTTAATTCCATTTTTTTCGTATAAATTGAAATATTTTCAAAAAAAAGTAACAGAATTTTTATTACTCTAAATAATTTTTTTTCCAATTTTCAATATTAATAGTATATTTTTTTATTAACAAATTTTCAGAACCAATACAATTACAAGTTCACATTCTGCAATCTAAATCTCCATAAGCATTTTTGTACCAAATTTGTATCTATTAAAATTATTTTCGTAACTATGAATAATTATTATTATTAATTAATAATAACTACAATAATAATTTTTTTTGGAAACTAAATTAAACTTTCGTTTTGTGAATAATTCTGGGAAAATTCAAATAATTTTTATATTATCAAAAAATTATTTATAATTATAATTTCTAATTATAAATATTTAAATAACAATTATTAATTAATAATATAATTAATAATTATAATTCGACAAAAAAAATTATAACTAATTAATTAAAATATTAAGAAAAATAAAAAGTTCGCTTTGCACAAAAAGTGACGAAGTATACGAAGTATAAAACTTGAGAAATCAGTAAATAACAGGTTAAAAAAAATTAAACTTTGGAAAAATGTTAATTGCTCAAAATGTTAATTCGAAAAAAAATAAAACTAGAAGAAAGGATTACCAATCGTGTTATAAAAAAAAAACGACTATTTGGATAAACAAAAATGATGAAAAATTCATATTTCAACAAAATAATAATTATGAGATGAAATAATTATTCAAATAAATTAGAAATAAAAAAAAAATTAAAATAGTAATGAAATACAGGTTGAAAAATATAGAAAATATAAAAAACTATCACTACGATAGAAAAATTTTGCAACAATTGGTAATTCGATAATATTGAAAATTATTTTGAATAATATGTTGAGAAACTGATTATTACGGTAATTAATAATTTGATACAATAACGCTTATAAAAATTTAGAATTCGTAAATTATAATTTGAAAAAAATTTGTTAAAAATAAATCAAAATTTGAAAACTATATAGAAAGTTAAGTGGTTATAAAAATTCTGTTTATTTATTTTTTTGAAATAAATTAGTAAAAATAAAAAATAATAATAATTAAAATAACTTATGTTTAGATTTATAAATAATTATTGTTAATTATCACATACAACTTATCAGATAAAACCAATTTCTATAAAATAAAAATTCGGAAAATTAAATTACGGTTCTATTCATGTGCCTTTTTTGCATTCTCAAATGTAACGAAATTTAATAAAAAAAAAGTGAACTAAATTAATTACGTTGCTGAAATGCATAACACGTAGAATCAACAATTTGGAAAATATAAACAGACGTTTTTAAATTATTGATTAAAAAAAGAAAAAAAAGAGAGATATATTTTTTTTACATTTCGATTTATGAAAAAATTGAGAATGCAAATTGTGTTCTTGATTGCAGATGCTCCAAGTAGTTTTCAAGTTTTGTCCTTCTGCAGGAGAGAAAAGTAGGAAAGTTTTTTTTTATATATACATATACGTACACAATTTTATAAAATTTCTATTCGTTGTGGAATATTCAAATTGACTTGTACAACTGTTTTGAAAATTTATGTAAACTTTGTTTTTCCTTGGGCGCAGAATGACAAAATTTTCGGTGCTATTTCTTATTATTAAATTGTTCTCGTTTTGTGATGAATATTGTTCTTGTTGTCGCCTTTAATGTTTATAGTTTTACTGAAAATGCCTTCTTTTCATATTATTGCTTTTCATTGTTTTCGTTTGCTTATGTAGGTGAACATCCAGTCATTCTGTTTTTTTTATTTTTGTCAATTTTTTAAATAATAGGTATTTAAATTTTTTAAAATTATTAATTAAATATTAATAACTAATAAAATTTTTTAAACTACTCAATTTTTTTTTTCTTTTAAAACTTTAAAAAAGAAAAAATGTTTGAAAACGGGAAATATTTTTGAGAATTGAGAAAAATTTGTATATGCTAAAATTTGTTTGAAAAAGTATTTGAAAAAAAATTTATTTCTTAATTTATTTCCTTGAAATGGAATATAAACTGACTTGGAAAAAATTAAAAATGTTTAAAAGGAATTAAATGTAAATGAAGATTTGAACTTTCGACGAATTTTTTCTTGTATGTCGAGCACCTATTCAGAAGCATTAAAAATATTTTGAAAGTAATCAGAATAAAATATAGAAAACTCGAAATGAATAGAAAATGTTTTAAAATAAATAAATAAATTTTAATTTTTGGAATTTTGCATTTATAATTATCTTTAAATTACTCTTCTTTTTTCTTGTCTTCTCTTTTATTCAAATAACGAACAAAATTTCCGAACATAAACCAAAGAAATCTTTGCATAACATTTGATAAATTTTTTCGAATTTTGTCTCATGTGGACTTTAATATTCCCCAGAATGGCTGGACAGCAATTGTGAGAAGCAATACATACATTTTTTTTATTTTTCATTACAAGAATATTCGGTCATTTTTCATTTTGGAAAAAAAAATTCCTTACATTTTCGTTCGATAAAAAAATGTAGCATATTTTTAATTTCCATTGCGAAAAAATTCCCCATTAAAAAAATTTTGATTGATTAAATTAAAAACAAGAGAATAGTAAATAAAATAAATTTCATTTTGTTGTATTATAAGAATTTTTACACATCAGTTTTGATAAGAGTAAATTGAGCTTATGGCAGTGTGGGACAATATGAAATGAAAATAGAGACACGTCCCAGGTCACGGGAGGCTCTATTTACTCGTTTTGTTGCACGGTCGCGTTCACAAGTTGTTCTTTTTTACATTTTTTTTTTTTTCATTTTATTATTTTTTTTTCGTTTGGTTTCGCACGACTCTTTCTGGCGTCATAACCGTTCGGCAACGTGTCGTTTTTCCTTTCGTCTTTTCCTTCTTTTTTTTTTTTAAGAGAAAAAAGTGACACACCCCGGGGGCAACACTCATTTACTAACCTGGCCCTTCTTTCGCAGGAACAACGTCTTTTCCACAGTGAAGCTGCGCAAAACGAAGACCAATGATCGTTCCGCACCTGCTTTATCTTGAAATAAGTCACTCATATAGAAAACTACTCTTAACAAACTAATAAATAACACCAATTTTTTTGGCTGCCTACTTATCAAATCTCTATAAATAATTAAATAGGGACACACATTGACACAATATATATATATATAGAAACAAAAAAAAAATTAATTAAAATAAAGAAAAAAAAGAAAATTTTCCTTTCTTATCAAATTTTAAAATAAAAAGAATTTTTAATTCCAAATAAAAATAATATATAGACAAATTTCTAATCTTTTTACTAGTAAGTTTTTTTTTAATCCAAATTTAACCCTTTTACGATTGAATATCACATTTCGAAAAATTTCCGGAATTTTATCAGATTTTCTAATTTTGTTCACCTTTCAACTAAAATCCTGTTAAAATTCAAATTTCAATCGGATTTCTCTTGAAAGTATTTTGGAATTCTTTTAACTCTAAAACTAATCATTTTCCAATTTTCGAAAGAATTCAATTTCCGAGTAATTTTTCCAAATTGAAGTAAAAATCTACTTTTTTTATCTAATTGTTTAATTTTAATTTTTAAAATAATAAGTGTTGAATGAAATACCTTTTTTACACTTAAATTTTATTTATTGCTATATACAAAAAAGTAGTAAGCTTTTTTTGTAAATCGTAAAAGTGTTAAATTTCTTAATATATAGTCTAAAGCGTCAGGTATCGAGAGAGATAAATTGTAAAAGTCATGTTGCAAAAACTTTTTTCACTCTAGGTAGAATTTCAACGAATGTAAAAAAAAACTCTGCAATTTATTTAGGTGAATTTAAATTTTAAAATTAAAACATTTCTCGAAAAAAAAGAATGTTATATATATTCCATTTTGAAGTCGTTATTTACACTCGTTTCTACAACACTTTACACTAATGATATTAATTGAGAAAATTTTGTAAACATTATTATATATAAAAATATGAATATAAAAAAATAAAAATACGAATATAAATAAAAATATAAATAAAAATACAAATAAAAATATAAATATAAATATAGAAATTATTACTTAGTTTTCGATATTTTCGAAAATTAGAAAGCGAATCAAAAGTGAAAAAGTCAAAAATAAAAACTAAAAAGAAAATTGAAAAGTCTTCAATAAAGTCATTTTCGTCCGCATTTTCGAAAAAATAGTTATAAAAATATAAAAAAACAATATCAAAAAAATAATAAATAAAAAATTTCTAGTGCACAGGAAAATTTTTCCAACGTTAAAAGTGAATAAGTAAATAAGTTTGCCATAAAGTGAATATTTTATTGAGAAAAAAATTTCTGAATTCTTTTTTTCAAAGTACATTCTTTACGATCCGTCCAAGAAGAATGCAGTCTCGCAGATAACGAATATTGATTTGGTTAACGTTCGGTTTGAGGCAAAATATTTCTAGTAAATTGGATAAAATTTATCAAAAAAGAATTACTAAATATGGAAAATACATTTTTATTTCAAACATTCTTTTCGTTTTTATATGTTATTTTTATGCAATTATATTACATTTACATTTATTATTTATATTTCCTTTTTTATTAAATTCGATTAGAGTAAAAGAAAAAGTAAATTTTCTTCAGACAGGATTTAGATATTTTTGAAATTTTTTTGTGTCTGTTGTAAAGTACTATTACGAAAAGCAAAATGATAAATTTTTTTTAATAAACGTGAGTTTTATTCAAGAAATTTTCGAAACTATTTTTTTCCCTCAGTAGTTAAAGTTTAATTATCTTCAGAACGTTTTGAAAATTGTTACGTAACTTTAAGTAGAAAAGGACTATCACTGACAGACCACACTATCCAAATGTTTTTTTTTTTTAATAAAAGTAAATATCGACAATTAAAAAATTATTTTTCACTTCTCTAAAGTCTGTTTTAGAAGAAAAAGTAAATTTTAG